CTCCTGGCCTTCCTTCCCTTAGCCAGGCAGGCTGTCAACTCTCAGGCGAGTGCACTAATGCCCTCTCCAGAGCCCTAGAGGCCCTGGGTGCCTCTCAAGAGGCAGGGTGGAGACCTGCTCATATCATTAAATTTTAAGGTCCCCACAGGCCGCAGCCTTCTCTGGACAGAGGACTCTATGGCATTGTTCTCACTCTGCTTGTGGTCTGGGTTTGTCTGCAGGGCCCAGTTGAGACTGAGGCTCTGTCCTTGGGGTTGGGATGGACTGGCTAGTGACATGCCAGCTGCTGGCCCTGCACCCCAGGTTTCTTCCTCCTCCCGCTGGCAACAGCAGCAGCCCCATGTCCTGTGGAGGGAAAGGCCCGGGCTCCTTGGAGCTCATGTCCAGCAGGCATTGGCTGTGAGCCCTCCTGGGGTGTTCTGGGCCTGGGGCCTGTGACTGGCCTCCCTGTGTTTGATGCAATTCTCACCTTGAGGGCTGGGCTGCTGAAACTAATTTGGCCATTCCCCTTCCACTTGTAAAACAGCCATAGAAAGCTCTGATAGCATTTCCCAGCCCAGCTCCTATCAGCCTCCTGGTGACTGAGCTCTGGCTGGGATCCCTGAGCCCCTCTCTGCTCAGCTGTGACCTTGAGAAGGATGTGAACAAACACATTCAGCTTTTGGCAGCTTTGGCACCAGTGGGGAAAGGCTTGTCTGAGGGTCATAGTACTACCAGAAGGGACCATCTATGGCAGCCATGCACCTCCCTTTCTTTGGGGCATTTGCTTAAAGGGCTGATGGCCATGAGTCTTTTCTCTGTCCCTTCTTAATGTCCAGGTGTCTGCTACAGCCTGGGATGTCTCTCTGAGGACCTGAGAGTCATGACCTTCAAATGTCCTTGTCAGGAAGGATGGGGGTTTCTCTTCACCAGGCTCTGGGAGAATCCTGACTTCTAGCCCTTGGTGACTGCTCCCTTCCTCCCTCTGCCTGAGGCCTGGCAGCTCTGCATGGGTGGCCTGTGAGCTCAGGCCTGGCCGGACTCTTCCTACCACAATAGTCACTGCTGCTAAAATCAGTCCTGGCTGCTTTAATGAGTGTCCGGCTTTGGTAATTTTTGGGAACACTGCTCTCTGCCCCTGCCCCTCATTCCTGGCACCAACGTGACTGTTATGGGGCAAGTTTTATCCCAGAAGAACGGCAGCCTAGGTGATGTCTACCTGAGGTCTTAAACTTTAGAGTAGATGCTGGGATTAGGCTTTGGGGGATATTGGGATGGGATGAGTCATTTTGCATGTGAGAAGGACGTGAACTTTGGGGGGCTATAGGGTAGACTCTTATGAGGCACATTGTGCCAATCCACCCCTACAATGCTGAAATACCAAGGCTGGTTCTACAGAAGTGTGCCCGTGCTTAGAGACAGAGTCTGTACAGAGGTAACAAGCTAACACCACTAAGGTGGACCCTGATCCAGTAGGCCTGGGGTCCCCATAAGAAGAGGATGTCAGCACATGCAGAGAGATGGACACAGGAGAAGCAGGGAGGAGGTTCTGTCTGAAGGCCCAGGACAGATGCCTCAGGAGGACTCTCCCCTTGGTCTCGGACTCCAGGTGCCCAGACTGGGAGACAGCTGAGTTGCCCGGAGTTATCACTGTCATTGCTGTTGGACCTGTGGTCTGGAGGCTCCTTCCACCCCTGGCATCTGTGCTGTTCTCAGGCCACAGCCCCTGCCCAGCACAGTGACCAGGGCTGGCAGGTGCCAGGTCTGACTGGGATTAGAAAGAGCATCCCTGAGGGCAAGCAGGGGCCCCAATGCCTCAGGTGATGGCTGGGCTGGTATGTCACACAGGGCACTGGAGGGTGGGTGGGTGGAGGCCTCGAGGATGGATGCCATGTGGGCAGTGTGGACACAGGAAGGCTGTCCTCCAGGCACAGGACTTGTGAAGGATGTTTTATTATCATTAAACAAAGAAACATTAAAGATAATTAATGACCTTAAGAAAATTAACAAGAAGGACAAAAGCTATTGAAGCTGAAACTGTGGTGTTTCCTTTTAGTACATTGTGAGACCTGCCCGACGCCCTGGCAGGTGCTCTCCTCTCTCCTACCTGAGATGAGCCTGGCTTTGCCTGCAGAAGTGCTGGGAGCATGGCCTTGGGCTCTCTCCTTACTCAAATAGTCTCACGTTCCCATTTTCCCTGGACACTGGCCTCTAGGATGGGGTCTGGCTGTGTCTATGGCGCAGTTCTCTCAGCATCCCTCGCTGCTCTTCCCAATGCTCCTTGGCCTCCTCCATCTGTGGGACCTGCTGAGGCTGAGGCTTGCCTGCTGGGGGCCTGTTCACTGTCCCTGCCTTTGCACCACAGGGCTCTTCAGAGGCCACGAGACCTGGGCTCTTCTCTGAGTGGTCTCCTTGGAGTGGCGTGGGGGCCCTGGTGGAAGGTGGCACTGTCCTGGGCTTGGCTCCTACCCTCCCCAGTTGCTGGGCTATTTGCCCTGAGGGTTGATCCCACCTTCGAGAGTCCAGAGGGATGGGCAGGTGGGTCAAGAGGTGGTGCAGGCACAGGGAGACCCTGCTACACCAGGGGCTCCTTCCCAGGTGCTGAGAAAAGTGTTCTTTGCTTGAGATACAAAGAAGCCTATTTCTCAGTTTGGAGGGTCACAGAAGTGCCTAGGACAGAGCTGGCAAGGCACAGGTCAGAGGAAGACCATCTGGGTGACCATGAGAAGCACTTTTTGGAGCCTCCTTGCAGGGGACCATGGCCTGGTGGCTTCTTGGCATTGGTGGCTGGCAGATGCTGCCACTCACCCATCTGAGAAAATGTACCTTCTCTCAGAAATTCCTGTGTTTAGGAGGCTGGTGTGGATGGGATTGGTGGCAAGCTAGTCCCTGCCTAGATGGACACCTGAATGCCAGCCTCTGTCTCCTTCCAAGTGAGTGTGCCTGGCTGACATAAAGGCAAGGATGCCTGGGAGAGGGGAAACATGGCCCCCTGTGGCTGCACACACGTCTAGGTGGCTAAGGCTTACTGGAGACCTGCTTATCCCCAAGGTTCTATAAGGACGGGTCAGGGTGGCAGGGCTGGGGGAAGGGAGAGGCTGGGGCGACTGCAAGACCAGAGGGCTGCAGGGCGTATGGAGTGAAATCAGGGGGCAGGTGCAGCCTGGAGGGCCAAGCGTGGTGCATGGGCTTTCGTGCGGGTCTGGTGGCCCAGGATGCCTGTGCAGAGGGCAGCCCTAGGCCCCCTGTCCGATCATGTTCCTGTAGTCCGGGACGATCGTCCGCTTCAGGTCCACAACCGAGGAGAAGATCCACTTCACCTGCAGCGACAGCACAGGGTGAGCTGAAGATCCTGGCCTGAGACCCACCCCGTGCCCACCAGGTGCCCAGGGCCTCCCTGTTGTCTGCATGTAGACCAGGACGGGAGCAGAGCACATCCTGGGGACAGCACAGAGACAGCCTGAGGACAGCGTGGGGACAGCCTGGGGATAGTCAGGGCACAGTTTGGGTATAGCAGAGGATAGTTAGGGGATATCTTGGGGACAGTCTTGGGACAGGCTGGATACAGTGTGGAAACAGCATGGGACAGCATGTGAATGTCCTGGGGACAGTGTGGGGACATCCTAGGGTCATTGTGGGAATAGCCTGAGGATAGTTGGGAAACAGTTGGGGGATGGTGTGGGGACAGCATGGGGATGGTGTGGGGACAGCCTGAGGACAGTGAGGAGACATGTGGGGAACTGTATGCAGATAGAGTGTTGACAGCCTGAGGACAGTTGGAGGCAGTGTGGGGACAGCATAGGGACAGTCAGGGGCAGCCTGGGGACATCATGAGGACAGTTTGGGGACATTGTGGAGTGGCCTGGGGACAGTCTTGAAAGCAGCCTGGGGATGGTGTGGGGGTGGCTTGGGCCCACCTTGAAGAGGGTGACGGTGGCGCTGTAGCACACACTGAGGAGGAAGAGGGTGATGAAGATAGCAATAGTTGTCCAGAGCCCGTCCAGCTCCCCATCCTGAGCCTCGGCACAGCTCTCATCTGCTTGCAGCTCTGGACAGGGAGGGAGTGGTCAGTGCCATGTCCCACCCAGCCTGGGTCTTGGGGGTGCTTCCCATTGTGGTGGGGCCTGGGCTGTGTGGCCTGGCTGGGCTGGGCAGTAGCGCTGTGAGTTCAGTTCCTGGCTGCCCCATGGGGTGCCAACCTCAGGGCTCTGGGGTTAGGTCTGGCCTGGACAAAGCTGTGGTGGCCCTGTTCCCATTCTGCCCTGGCTCTACAGGGCAGTGCTATGCCTGGCCCCTCCCTGGTGACCAGGCCTAGAGAGCTGGGGAAGGGCAGAGCCTGCCAGGGATGGTGAGGTGTGGTGCAGGTGGCCATGGCACGCACTTTACCTCTGTGTGTGTGTGTGTGTAGGGTCTGGGAGCCCTCTGAGTGGAGTGGGTTTTTCTGAACTGGTCAGTGTGTGGACAAGTTGCTGAGCAGCCCATGGGGTAGTGTCTGTGCAAGTGCTTGTGCAGTGGACACATCTCCCTGGTCTGGGAGCCCAGTGGCAACCATGTGTGAGGCCCCAGTGTATGGGGTGTGTGCGTGTGTGCAGTGGCCCTGAGGGTCCTACTTGGTTTATTTTCATGGATCTGGTCCAGTGTCCTTGTGAGTATGGGGGCAGCCCGTCCCCTTGTGTCTCTGTCCCTGTGGGACACAGGACTGAGTGTTCCTAGATGTGGTCAGTGTCCCCACCAGAAAGAGGCTAGGTGCTGTAGCACAGGCCCTGTGGCCTTGTCTGGGAGCTGTGTCCCTGTTTCTCTCAAGGGGCACCTAGGGGCTGCAGGGAGGGCTAGAAAGAGGGGCCCTCTCCAGTCAAGTTCCCTTCTCTGCCCAGGGTGCCCCTGGCCAACCCCTGTTCTGGGCTGCCTGTGCTGATCCGCAGAGCCTGGGTCTGGCCTGTGTGGAACCCGCTCTCTCCCTAGTGATACAACTCAGGCCTCGGAACCTGGTCTGACCCTTGGAAAGAACCATCACAGTCTCACAGGGGCCCAGGGAAGTGCTGGGAGCTTTATTTCCATGCTGTTTGCCCAGGAGGTATGTACATGGGTGGGTCGTGCACCCTCACAGGAGCGAGGGGCTTGCTGGGTGCAGAGCTCATTTACCCGGAGACACGGAGAGGGACTTCTGGGTGTAGTGGTTGTGCAGGCCCTCATGCATCACGGAGCACGTATATGTATTTCCTGACTGCCAACTCTCCTTGCTTATGGTGAGCTTGCTGTAGAGGAAGAAGGACCCATCTGAATCCAGCACGGCAGGGGTGGTCTTGTAGTTGTTCTCAGGCCTGCCATTGTGCTCCCACTCAACAGCCATATCCGCAGGGTAGAAGCCTGTGACCATGCAGGTCAAGCTGACCCTAGATTGGGTCATCTCCTCCCGTGCAGGGCCCATGACGTACACATGCGGCTCACGGACCTGCCCTGTGGGGATAGAGGTCAGGAGAGAGGTCACTCCAGGGCAGAGGGTGAGTGGGGCTCCAGCCACATGGTCATGGTGGAGTGAGAGATCATCCTGCCCTGCCTGCTGCTCCCACCTTTGGCTTTGGAGATGGTTTTCATGACGGGGGCCGGAAGGGCTTTGTTGGTGACCTTGCACTTGAACTCCTTGCCCTTCAGCCAGTCCTGGTGCAGGACAGGGAGGGTGCTGACCACACGGTATGTGCTGTTGAACTGCTGCTCCCGAGGCTGCGTCTGGGCTGTGCGCACCTCCACGTTGTCCACGTACCAATTGAATTGGACATCAGGTTCATCCTGGCTGACATCCACCACCACACATGTGACCTTGGGCGTCAGTGAGATCATGAGGGTGTCCTTGGGCTTTGGGGGGAAGATGTAGACGGATGGGCCTCCCACCACTTCACATGCTGGTGATGGGGAGACAGAGATAGACAGATCATCATCAGGATAGAGCCTGCCCTCAGACTGGGGAGCTCCTCCCAGGCTCCAGTCCCCCCACCTTGGGCTGGGAGCAAGGACTGGGCAAACTTACGTTGGCACTGGGAACTGCAGCGGGTAACCGGTTTGGGCTCTGCAAAGAGAGGGGACGTTACATGGGTCTGGAAGGAGAGGAGCTGTTTGAACTAAGTGGGGAGAGTCTGCTCCTTGCTTGGGCTTAGGCCAGGGCAGGCTCTTGGGCACAGCTATTGGTTGGTCTGGACCCAGTGCCCCTTTGTGTGCCTGGGGCATCCAGCCTGTGTGCACCCTGGGCCTCTCCTGCAGTAAGGTTCACACCGGAGCCTCCCGCTGCCCAGGGCTGGGGCCATTCTCCTCCTGGCCGTCCTCTCACCAATAAGCTTGTCCACCTTGGTGTTGCTGGCCGGATGGGCTACGTTGCAGGTATAGGTCTGGCTGGACCAGCTGCTGGCTGGTACGGTCACCATGCTGCTGAGGGAGTAGAGCCCTGAGGACTGCTGGACGGCCGGGAAGGTGTGCACGCCGCTGGTCAGGGCGCCTGAGTTCCATGTCACGGTCGCGGGTTCTGGGAAGTAGTTCTTGACCAAGCAGGCCATGGCCACTGTGGGGCTGGATGTATCTCCACCATAGGGAGCCAGGGGGAAGACTGATGGGGCCGTGTTTTTGGCTGTGGGAGAGGAGGCATGTGTGAGTGCAGCTGGCACTGGGCCCATGGGCCTCAGGTGTGTGTGTGGCTGGCTCTCCCTGCATGACCTCTGCCCCCTCCCTCCACCAGATGTGTACCCTCTGCCGCTACAGGGCCTCAGGCCATAGCCTCAGATGCTGGACACATCCATGGGCCCTGCTTGGTTTGTAGTGAGCAGAGCCTGGGGCCTCTGGCCCGTCCTCATCTGCCCACCTCAGGCATGGCTCAGGAGGGCCTAGGCCCTGCCCCTGCCCCTGCCCTGGCCTCCTTTGCATTCCTGATGGACTGGCAGCCCTGTTCTCCCCAAAGCCTGCTGTAGTCCCTGACTGGGTTGTCCCAGCCTGGGCGGCTGCCACCTGGCCCCTCTACCAGGACCTGGCCATAGCCTGCCCTCAGCCCAGCCCCAGTGTCCTCTGAAGCTGGCTAGGGGCTGTGCCCTGCCCCATCCAGTCAGATGCCCCACTATGGCTTGCTGACATCCACTACTCATGGCCCTCTGCCCCTCCTAGCTCTCTAGTCTCTGGCCTGGGTAGGCCATCCCACTTGTCCAGGGTCTCCCTCTACTCAGAGCGTCACTCAGACCCCACCTCCAGCACAGGTAGAGCCTTTTAGAGCTCACGGTGCTAACACACCATGAGCAGGGAGGCCCCTTTGTCTCTCTTGTGCTGGCCCAGATGCACTGGTTCTCAGTGCAATCATGTGCCCTTCTCACACCCCAAGGAAGCTGAGCACCCCACCAGGTCACCCCTCTGCACTATACCTCATGCTCTAACAGCCCCTGCTCAGGCCCTCAGTGGGTCCCTTTGTGACCTGCTGCTCGGTTGCCTGCCATGTGGCACCCTGACACTCTGTTGGTATGCTCCCCCAAACTCCCCTGACCCCCTAGGAGTAGAGCAGGCCTCTCCTGAGAAGTCAGCCTGTCTTCTTCCTCCAGGAGCCTCTGACCCAGGTGGTTTTCTGCCCACGGTGGCCCTCAAAGACCTGGTCTCTGCAGCCAGCCCCCCACTCCAAGTGGACTGGGATTCTAGGTTGGTGTCCCAGCTGTGTCCCTTTGTCCATCAGGAGTGGCTACAGTCACCTACAGTCCCTCAGCCCTGGTCCTTTGAGCTCTGGGGAGCTACCTCCTATACCTCCTGACCCCCATCTTCTCTGCCTACCCAGAGCTGTTCTGCCCTGGTCCCCTGAGCTCTGTGGAGCTGCCCCTTATTCCTCCTGACTCTCACCTGCTCTGCCCACCCAAAGCTATTCTGCCCTGGTCCTTGTTCCTCCTGACCCCCACCTGCTCTGACCACCTGAACCTATTCTGCCTTGGTTCCCTAAGCTCCAGAGAGGCTGCCCCCTGCTCATCCTGACTCCCACTTGCTCTGCCCTGGTCCCCTGAGGTCTGAGGGGCTATCCCCTGCTCCTCATGACTCCGACCTGCTCTGCCCCCCTGAACCTACTCTACCTGGTCCCCTGAGCTCTGGGGGTGGGAGGGGGAGCCCTCTGCTCATCCTGACTCCCACCTGCTCTGCCCACCTGAACCTGCTCTACCCTGGTCCCCTGAGATCCGAGGGGCTGCCCCCTGCTCCTAAAATGACTCTGATCTGTTCTGCCTACCTCAACCTGCTCTGCATTGGCCCCCTGAGCTATGGGGGGCTTCCCCCTGCTCGTCCTGACTCCCAACTGCTCTGCCCACCTGAACTTGCTCTACCTGGTCCCCTAAGCTCCAAGGAGCTGCCCCCCCTGCTGCTCCTGACTCCCACCTGCTCTTCTCACCCAGAGCTGCTCTGCCCTGTTCCCCTGAGCTCTGGGGGGCAGCCCCCTGGTCCTCCTGACTCCCACCTGCTCTGCCCACCTGAACCTACTCTGCTCTGGTCCCCTGAGGTTCGAGGGGCTGCCCCTTGTTCCTCCTGACTCCGACCTGTTCTGCCTACCTGAAACTGTTCTGCCCTGCTCCCATGAACTATGGGGGGCAGCCCCCTGCTCGTCCTGACTCTCACCTGCTCTGCCCACCTGGACCTGCTCTACCTGGTGCCCGGAGCTCCGAGGAGCTGTTCCCTGCCCCTCCTGACTCCTACCTGCTCTGCCCGCCTGGACCTGCTCTACCTGGTGCCCAGAGCTCCAAGGAGCTGTTGCCTGCCCCTCCTGACTCCCACCTGCTCTGCCCGCCTGGACCTGC